TATATATATATATATATATATATATATATATATATATATATATATATATATATATATATATATATATATATATATATATATATATATTACACTTGCGTTGTTCTGCTTTCTGGATTATCCCTTTTTTAAGGCACCAAAGCGCAAATGCACGTTGTAGCGAACCAGAAAACAACCAACACAGTTGATGTCTGTCTTTGGAATTCAAGGGTTCTGTCATACACGTTTTGAGCTCCAAGATACAACATTAAAAACCTCTCAGTGATAAGTGCCAAAATATAGTATTTGATCACATTAAATATTAGCACTTATTGACTCAATTTACCTTTTTTCTACCGTTAAATCCCTAAATTTATGAATAGGATTAAGTTTGAACAAGATAATGTTCTGCTTTTTGAATTCTTTGCTTTTGAGTATAAATTCCACACTTAGAAAAAGATTGGAACACAAAACATGAAAGCAAAAATATGCAAGTTAGCTAGGCGAGCCTCCAACGAGACTCAGGCAAACGCTCGCCCAACATGCCAACAACGAGGCTCAGAAGTGGAGAAATAGAAGTAAAAATCCTCTTTCTCTCCGGATGAGCCTTAAGCAAGCCATATCACCCAACAAAGCCCCAACGAGCACCAGGCAACACAAGTATTAGAGTCTTTCTAAGTTGTATTATGTATACACCTCTGATTATATATCAAGTGTAGTTGTTATCCAAATATCTTAACAGTTTGTTATAGACTTAGAAGTCTATTGATTTAGTGCTTGAGCATTTGAAGTCTCTTGCTTGTATGCTTAAGCATAAAAGTCTCTTACTTGAGGGTTTGAGCATTTTAAGTCTCTTGCTTGTGTGCTTGAGCATAAAAGACTTTTACTTGTGGGTTTGAGAATTGTAAATCTCTTGCTTGTGTGATTGAGCATATAATTCTCTTACTTGGGGGTTTGAGCATTGAAATTCTCTTGCTTGGTGCTTGAGCATATAATTCTCTTACTTGGGGGTTTGAGCATTGAAATTCTCTTGCTTGGTGCTTGAGCATTTCTAATGTTTGCCTATAATGAAAATCCCTTGGAAGTGCAAGGGGATTGAACTACTCTCAATTTGTGAGAGGAACCAGGATAACTGTTGTGTTTCTTTGCTTTTACTTTCATGCTTTCGGTTCTTATTATTCCGCTGCTATCATCCTTGCAACTCTGAGTCAGATTCTGGTTCAGAATCTCATAAGGACTTTTAGAAGCTAACCTAGTAATTCAGAGTTAGACTCTGAACTAAGTGTTTAGAATCTGATTGAGATCTATCAAAAGCATAAGAGAAAAAAGCTTAGAGGAGAAAAACCAACACAATTCAACCTCTTCTTGTGTTTTTCTCACCTTCAGTTGGCGTCACAACAAGGTTTATGCTAAACACTTGATAGTGGTGCATAAAAGATCCTGAGAAAACACCTTCTATATCATGAGTAATTTTGAAACATCTCACTCTGGTGATGGTATTCCTTGTCTACAACCTAATCACTTGGTGTTGTTAATCATCATTGTAATACATATAAAAAAACAACTATGTTGCTAGACTTCCAACATTCAGCGGAGACTCTACACAATTTGAATGGTGGAAAAGCAAGATGTAAACACATATCACATGTCTTAATGATGAGCTGTGGGACATTCTTGAAGATGACATTGATATTCCTATGAATAGAGTAGGAATCATAGCTGATAAAAAAACTCTCACACCAGATTAGAAGAAGACTTACAGAAAACACCACAAAGTGAGAGGTATTCTGGTAGATGCTCTGCCTCACTCTGAGTACATAAAGATCATTGACAAGTCTACTGCCAAAATTACTTTGTAATATTTATGTGCTACTCATGAAGGAAACCAATAGGTTAAAAAAAGCCTACACTAATCTTGTGGTTCAACAACATGAGTTGTTCATAATGAAAGAGGATGAAAATATTGAAACCATATTCTTAAGTTTTCAAGTTATTGTGTCTGGACTTCAAGTTTTAAACAAAATCTATACCACCTCTGATTATGTCAAGAAGATTCTTATGAGTCTTCTTGTCAGATACACACCTAAAGTAATAACTATTTAGGAAGCTAAAGATCTGAACAAAACTAATCTTGAAAGTCTGATTAGTAATCTCCAAAGCCATGAGTTAGAACTCAATGGGTATGAAGAACCAATCAAGAAATCAAAGTCCGTGACTTTGAAATCTATTAGGAAATATGTTAAATCTTTACAGACTTTGGAGCATAAAGAAGCCACTCATGGTGAAACTTCTAAAGACGATTTAAATGATGATGAAATGACTTTCATCATTGAGAGATTTCACTATCTTGCTAACAAAAATAAAAGGTTCTATGGTAGAATATTTGACTTTAGAGGAACAACCTCCAAAGTCAATAAATATGATTAGAAAGGATGGTTCAACTACTAGAAGCTTGATCACTTTATAGTTGATTTTCTAGAGCTTTAGAAGGACAAAGGCAAATAGGGAAGCTTCTAGAAGAAAAACTTCAGAAGAGAGTTCAAGAAAAGTCTCATGGCAATATGGGATGAACTTGATGATGAAAAAGAATCTGACAAGAATGAAGAATAATCCAATTTAGCTTTGATGGCTTCAACATTCTCAGACACAAAATCAGAAGCTGATTCTAACTCAGATTTTGAGGATGAAGATGACATATTCTCTAAACTCTCTTGACCATATTTAATTACTTTCTGTCAAGACCTTATGGGTCGATGCCAGGAAAAAGCCAAACATATAAAAATTATACAAAAGCAATATGGTATTATGAAAAATGAATTAAATTTCTTTGAAAATAAGATTGACAAATTAGAAAGAGATCAGACTGCTTTAATAAAAGATATGTCTGAGAAACCTCTTTATGAGTATGAAATGACTCTTCAATAGTTTATCATAACTAACTTCAATAGAACCAAAGTTGCATCTATGATCTATGGTGTAAGTAGAAGAAAATGAAAAGGTCTTGGTTACTCTGAAACCTTGAATAAATCAACAAAACCTTCTTCTTCAAGCTCTGGTAAAAAAAAAAGGCTATACTATCATTTTGTACCTGTTGTTAAAAAAGTTTTAAACTAATCAAAGCCGATAACTGCAGAGTCAAAGGTTCTTAAAAAACCAAAATCTAAGACCTCAAAGTCAAAAGTTTTGAAGAAATCATAACCAATGATTCTTAAGTTAAAGGTTCTAAAAGAATTAGAACCTAAGACTTCAAAGTCAAATATTCTGAAGAAACTAGAACCTAAGACATCAGGTTACAAGGTTCTGAAAGGTCCAGAACCTAAGGCTAAGATCCATTTAAGACAACAAACTTTCAAATCAAAATTCTTGAATGATCCAAAGCCTTATTACAAAGTTAAGGCTCAAAATAAGAGGAAACCTATTAAAACTAACCTTAGAGGACTCATGAGTTTTTGGGTACCAAAAATTGAGATTGTCTTTGCTACAAATATGCTAAAAAGGAAGAACAAAACAACAATTTCAGCTCCAGGACAATATTTGTTTACAACATATAACAAAAGTCAAGGATCCAACTCTTAGCAGTGTAATAACCACTTATATGATTAGGCCAAATGAGAACACCTTTTGTATTCGAGTTGAACCTGAGATTTTTAAGGGTGGGATCAGTGATGATGTGACGAGGGAGTCGAGTATACAAGGGATTAATGTGGGGCGGTGTTATGGAGTTAAAATCTTTTAACAGTTAGATTAATGTCATGGATGTGTACATGCTTAATAAGAGCAACCATAAAACTGAGATACGTACAATGGATGTACTAAAAATAATAGAAATTTGACTCATGTCTCCAGTCAAACCTATCATTTTGCACATTCTTCGTTTTAACAATATAATTTCAATTGGAGAAACTTGTAGTAGCAGAAAGAAAGAGTAAACGATCACTTGCTAAATACTTTTGAGAGAAGAGACACACTCAAAGTTTATCAATATTTTGGAGCATATCTCAAACATGTTCACTAAGAACACCTAACTTTTTTTGGATAAATGATTTTTTCCATCGAACCAAAAAGCTATTTTTGTTTGTATTTTTTATATAATGAAGTTAAAATGACAGTTCTGAGAAGTTTAATTTTCCAAAAAGCTATTTTTGTTTGTATTTTTTTATATAATAAAGTTAAAATCACAACTCTATCTTTATGAATAAGAAAACCAATGTATTTAAGTAGTGACGAATGTTTGATATTATAGTTAATTGAATGAAAACTATTTTAAAACCTGATACAAATAAGAAAACCAATGTATTTAAGTAGTGACGAATGTTTGATATTATAGTTAATTGAATGAAAACTATTTTAAAACCTGATACACATCTAAATTCTAGTGACAATAACTCATAAGAGTTATTTAATGTTAGGAGAGTAAGTGTGTGGTGAAGATAAAATGTACCATTAATTAAATTTTTTTGACAGAATTTATTGTATGATTTTTTCCATTATATTTTTCTAAATTTTTAATGTTTTTTTTTCTGACAAATTTATTTGATTACATAATTTAGACTAAAAGTTAAGAGAAAAGATTAGCGTGATAAGAATGTAAATATGTGAAGTTCTTTTCTTTCTGGCCGTATTTACAAAAACGGAAATCAACCTTGAAAAAAGGAATGATAGAGTTCCATTTGCAGAAAAAGTCTAATAACAGCGACATAACCTCCACTCGTCATCCCCACACCCAATCAACTTTTCCCTGCCCATTTCGCCCACTTTTCCTCTTTCTAGATCAAACAAAAGAGCAATATAATCACATCTTTGGAAAGGAAAAAAAACCCATAATTCAACCTTCAAAACAGAGAAGGGTCAATCTCAAACGAAAAGCCATCATCAATCCATATTGATTATTCAATTACTATTCGCAACTTCCAACTTGTAACAATAAGTAACCATTAACTAATTAACCAATCTTCAGGCTCATAGTCAGAGTCACATTTTCTTTCTTGTTACAGCCTATCTCTCTATCGCCTCCCGGTCCCGCAATGCCGATAAAACCGTTTCTCTGCTTCTCCGTTCTCCTCGCGTTTCTTGCCGTTGCCGGAGGTGACTCCGGCGAAGCCGCCGAACTCGACTACTCCAAGCTTTCCGGTATTATAATCCCTGGCTTCGCGTCTACTCAGCTTCGCGCATGGTCTATTCTTGATTGTCCTTACTCTCCGCTCGATTTCAATCCTCTCGATTTGGTTTGGCTCGACACTACGAAAGTACGTTGTAATCTCTTTTTCTCGAACTTCATTTTTTTTCGTTTTTCTACTTAGTTTTGCATTCTTATGTGAGAGGATTTTATTTTCGTCTCGATAATCAATTTTTGGAAAATGGTCCTGAAATCAGCACTTATGAGTTAGGACAACTGTATATAAGGATTTGTTCATTTTGCAGCTTCTTTCTGCTGTGAATTGCTGGCTTAAGTGCATGTTGCTGGATCCTTACAACCAGACAGATCATCCTGATTGTAAGTCACGTCCTGATAGCGGTCTTTCGGGAATTACTGAACTCGATCCAGGTTATATAACAGGTGTGTTTTGTATCTCGATTTCATGTGTAAAATGTGTTTCTATCATGTATTTGGCCTAGTTAAGTTTCATGATGTGTTTTATTTATTTGCAGGACCTCTTTCTTCTATATGGAAAGAATGGATTAAGTGGTGTATTGAATTTGGCATTGAAGCTAATGCAATAATTGCTGTTCCTTACGATTGGAGACTTTCACCGTCCATACTTGAAGAACGAGACATTTACTTTCATAAGCTTAAGTATGCCTCTACATCTTTGCATCTGACTCTTAGTTTTCTGTCACTGTCTGCTATTATATGGATAGAAGTGACTTTTTGTTATGAATTGTATTCAAAATTGAAGTAGGCATTGTAGTGTCTTACTGGATCATCTATCACAATAGTGTATGCATGACAGACACATTAATAATGTTTTCATTTAGCTGATTTGTACATTTTGGTAAGGGGCCAATTTGTTTATCATCAACAGTTAATTTCCAGTGCTTAAAAGTTTGCCTAAACGTGTAATTGGTAGTAATAAATCTTACTGCATGGTCTGTAAAATTGCATGCTTGAATCTACACAAACTTCATAAACAAATATTATACTTGTTCTACCCGGAGTATAAGGGAAGTTTAAGAGATAATGGCATGAAATAGAAAGAGCCGATGGAATTAAAAATAGCTACTTCCCCATATTCTCCAATGTCATCAGCAGGAGTAGAACCAATTTGAGTTTGAGCTAAGTTAAGTGATATGAGATCTGGTGTAGAGGACTTTTTAAATTTGTTAAGACGAAGTTCATGAGCTAGAAGCAGAATTTTTACTACATCCAAGTCCATGAGGCCAAATTTACTCTCAATAACAGATACAACAGGAGAAAAATCAGATGGAAGACCTTCAAGAATAACATGTATATGATGTGAAGCATGTATAGGATCACCAATGGAGGCAAGAGGATTCAGTATAGTACACACCTTGAGCATAAATTCTTGAACTGTGGAGTTGTCAAGAGTTAGGGCAAGAAGTTCCACATGCAACTGTCTTGCACGCACATGTGTTTGCTTCTGAAAGTAGTTGAAAAAGCGTTCCCAAAGCTGATGAGAGTGCGAGCATCCAAGAACTCGAGAGAGAATCTCGTTAGACAGCATCGATTGTAATCACGAAAGCAGCATCTGATCCTTCTGAAGCCAACGTGAATATGCTGGATTAACAGTACCGGTGACGCGAGCTTCATCATCTACAAATTGAGGTGGGATTTTCGAGCAGACGATGAACTCCGTTAGGTTATGCGCATTGATGTACGGCCAGTGTTATCAAATTGCGGTGCCATGGCCGCTATGGCGGATACACATGGCGGTTTTTGGGCTCGCTGCAATGGTAAATATCAGCCGATATTGCGGACTTTTCCGCTATAATCCGCTATAGCGGCGCCACAAAACGGATGGTATGGCGGGATTTTGGCTCTCCGCCATGGACCACCATCCACCATCGACAACACTGTACGGCTCGATTTGTTGACACCATAGATGAAAACTCTTTTCATCGAGCTTTTGCAAAAACTTGAGTGAAAACTGGAGGCGATGACATTTCTCCGTTGCCCGACGATGACCGGCGATGATACCGGTGGATCTTGAGCGAAAGAAGTAGACGACTCCTCCGGCGGCAGTGTTGCAGCCATGAGATGAGGCTAGATCGGAACCGAGCTAATCTGATACCATATTAGAAAAAGATGAAGAGAGTTTTCATTTTCAATCTAACTAACTTTGTATTTCTTTTATTGTTAGTTACAATCTGTTACGACAATTCTGCTTTTATACAGCAGAGATGAATGATCTGCAATAGCAGGTTTTGAATAATGCTAATGACCTGCAGTAGCAGGTTTTGAACAATGCTCAGACTGACACATGTCAGTCTTGAGCCTGTACTAACTCTATACTCTAATATGCTATAGCAGGTGTATACTTCTAGGGCTGACAAATGTCAGTACAATCAATCTACTAGGCTACGTGCTATATCTACTCTAATAGTTTGTTAATTGCGACGAGGATATTTACATTTTTCAATTTGTATTTCTTTTGGCAGATTGACATTTGAGACCGCTTTCAAACTTCGAGGGGGCCCATCTTTAGTTTTTGCCCATTCATTGGGTAATAATGTTTTTCGTTATTTCTTAGAGTGGTTGAAGCTAGAAATTGCCCCAAAGCATTATAACCAATGGCTGGATCAACATATTCATGCCTATTTTGCTGTTGGTATGACTGACTTATGTGCGTTTTTGACAGTTAAATGGTATTTCTGATAATCATATATCAATCTGCTAATTTTCCTTCTCTGATTGGTTGTCTTAGGAGCTCCCCTTCTGGGTGCAACTGAAACCATTGAAGCAACACTTTCTGGATTCACATTTGGTCTTCCAGTATCTGAGGTTACCTTCTAAGTTTTGTAACCTTACTTTTCTTTTGGATTTGTTTGTCTGTTAATTTATCTAGATTTATGCTGTCCAAAATCATTTGTCTGTTGTTCTTTTATATATTACTACCTTTTAGCATTGTATACTACTAAGTTCTTAGTCCTTCATTATTCAACTCGATTCAAAACTCTTTTAGCACTGACTGTTGATAGAAAGTTTCTACAATTGGGTATCATCATCATGCATTCATATAGAAAGCAAGCAGAAAACACTTCTCTAAACAGTGAGCTGGATATTTGTAGAAAATAGCAGCTTGAGTTCATGGTTGTGCATTGCATCCTTCCTGATTGTCGGGAAGGATTGAACTCACAGTACCTTGAGTTCATGGTTGTGCATGGCATCCTTCCTGATTGTCGGGAATGATTGAACTGACAGTACCTTGAGTTCATGGTTGTGCATTGCATCCTGCCTGATCGTCAGGAATGATTGAACTGATAGTACCTTGTTATTCTATCATCCTCCAAATCTCGACAATAATCAACTCAAAGATAAATATCAAACTGCTATTGGTTAATAGATGGAATGATTTGGACATATTCTATGCTTAATATTATGCATGCGGTTTTATTCCCATCTTAATTCATGCTTATACTACTTTTTTTAAGGTACCAGGGAACAGCTCGGTTGATGTTCAACTCCTTTTCTTCGTCATTGTGGATGTTGCCTTTTTCCAAGTACTGTAGAACAAATAATAAATATTGGAAGCATTTTTCTGGAGGACGGCAAGTAGGCACCCATACATATCACTGTGATGAGGAGGAGTTTAAGTCTAACTTTTCTGGATGGCCAACAAAGGTAGTCAACATCGAAATTCCCTCTAGCCGTGGTGAGACTGATGATCCTTTTTTATTTTCTAAATAGGGGTGTGCATGGATTATAAACCAGATCAAATCACATATATGGTTTGGTTTGGATCTTAAAACCATTTATATAAAACCGGTTTACAAATGGATTGGTTCGGTTTCAAACCAGTTTAAAAAATAAACCAGTTTTAAACCGGTTTCTCTCAAAATCAGTTTTTTATTTTCTTTAAAGAAATCAGTTTTAAAACCAATTTTTAAAAAAAATCAATTTTATTGCAAACTATCAAATAATTGATAAATCACCTGAAACTTATTCTACTTTAAACTTATCGCAAACAATCAAATAATTGATATAAATCAATTAATCAATTTTATTCCAGTTTTACATTGAATTAAATCAACACCCCATATATCTTAAACTTTAAACTACTCAATGTAAAACTGGAATTAGAATAATTCTTTTCATTGTGAATTAAATCAATTAATCAAGAAGTACGTTGAATTGATATAAATCAATTAATCGTGAAACTTATTCTACTTTAAACTTATTGCAAACTATTTACCTTAAACTTATTCTACTTTAAACCAAATCAATTTTATTGCAAACTAGGGGTGTTGATTTTGATTTTCCCAAACTATTCTACTTTTGTTTTTGAAACTTATTGAAAAATGGTTACCGAATCTCAATCCGGTTTGAAACAAATGGTTACCGGTTTTTTTAAAATTTAATAAATGGGCCACCAAATTTAAAATATAAATTTGGACTGAATTTTAAAATTTGGATTAATTTGGTTTATGGTTATTGGTTATTTTGCACACCCCTATTTTCAATGACCAATCTTGTTGTGGTGCTAATGGTCCCCAACTGCCTATTGTATCTTTTGCTTGCAGGATTTGATGCATATCCCACGTTTTCAGAAATACCTGAGACCAACTTGTCCGGAATGGAATGTGGACTGCCTATTCAATTATCTTTCTCAGCTCGTGAAATAGCGGATGGCTCCTTTTTCAAGGCAATTGAAGATTATGACCCAGACATCAAGAGGCTCTTGTACCAGTTAGAGAAGTGAGTGTTATCTCAATATGTGTTCATTAGAATATAAGTTGATCATACATTCTGATCACTCTACATGAAATGCCAAAAATCGAGACTTCAGAAACTTTATCTTTTCTTAAGCTAAATGCAAAGTAAGGGCACCTAGCTACCATGGAATTGCATCTTTTTATTTACTTTTAAAATATTTTTTTTAAGAATCTTAACAGCTCAAAGACTAAGCATACGAAGAGTCGTTTGGTTGAACATATGTTCTTACAACACTATTGTTCTGAAGGAAAGAAATTAGCAACTGAACTCTCCCTTCCTAAAACTAAACAAGTTTAGCCTATTAGTTTTAATATGGTTCAACTGTAAGCTTTGAAAAGGAGCTACAAATAAACAGGGTGCATTCATTTACCAAGAGTTTATGTTTATGAATATTGTTAAGAAATGTGGTTGGGCCTAACTCAACCCACCGGATCTTAAACGAGGCTCTTGATACCATGTTAAGAAATGTGGTTGGGCCTAACTCAACCCTACAAAACCGGCTTATAGAGTGAGGATTGCCCCCACTAATAAACACATGTTCATGCCATATATTGTCCGATGTGGGACTCTTAACAAATATAAATATAGAAACATATGTTTATCTTTTGCACTTGCTATCTTGAAATATAGGTTTTGACTTTTGACAAGTATGTGTTCTAACAGCGAATTTTCCTGTGTTATAAAACTTCTACTTCTAATTATTTATCTGTCCCATTCTTTACTGCTACACAACTTTATTCTGCTATCTGTATACTGTCCTGTGTTTCAGATCGTACATTGGTGATCCTGTTCTTAATCCACTTACACCTTGGGACCGGCCACCCTTAAAAAATGTCTTCTGTATATATGGCAGTAATTCAAAGACAAAGGTACATTAGCATTATTTCTAGTGTCACCCAACCACAACTGCAAATACTAAAGAGTTCCACTTAAATTAAGTTTGATATTAGTTTAAAAAAAATCTGAATTCGCGAACTTGGGGGAGTGTTGAAAGTTGACAAGTAGCTATGTTATTTTATGCGCCCCATTCTGTAGCTTGTTTTAGTTTAGTGCTCTGTCAGTTTTGCTTTAGTTTACCATGTCTGGTGTTGCTATTTCAATTTCTTTATTTTTTTTTGAAGAAGTTGAAAATATCGGGCTTATGTATATCGACCACCTGCATACATAAACAATGTGTTTTATTTGGTTTTAGTATGGAATATTTGGTTATCACTAGTACTTTTGTGATTTGCTCATTTATACTCCCCTTCATGTTTATTTGCAACCCTTTACCTTATTCATTTTCTTCAGTATAGTTAGTTGTGTTAAGAAGAGTCCAGTAGTAGAAATACAAAATACAGAAACATTTCATATTCAGTGGCAATAATGAAAGATTATTCTGGCCTCTCGGAAAATTCAATTATTTTAAAATTGTATAGAAACTTTCAAAACAATCATGTCTGTTTCCCACTGTACCTATGAAGCCCTCGGGACTCTGACTGCTAATATAAAAAACATAGGACACGAACACAATATATATATATATATATATATATATATATATATATATATATATATATATATATATATGTTAAGAAATGTGGTTGGGCCTAACTCAACCCTACAAAACTGGCTGGTAGAGTGAGGATTACCCCCACTTATAAACACATGTTCATGCCATATATTGTCCGATGTGGGACTCTTAACACACCCCCTCACGCTCAGGACTGGACAACTGAAGCGTGGAAATAAATGGTGGGTGGCCCGATAGCGGAAACCATAGAAGGTGGCCCACCGGATCTTAAACGAGACTCTGATACCATGTTAAGAAATGTGGTTGGGCCTAACTCAACCCTACAAAACCGGCTGGTAGAGTGAGGGTGGGTGGCCCGATAGCGGAAACCATAGAAGGTGGTCCACCAGAGTGAGGATTGCCCCCATTTACACCGGATCTTAAACGAGGCTCTGATACCATGTTAAGAAATGTGGTTGGGCCTAACTCAACCCTACAAAACCGGCTGATAGAGTGAAGATTACCCCCACTTATAAACACATGTTCATGCCATATATTGTCCGATGTAGGACTCTTAACAATATATATATATATACACTTTCAATAAACCACATAAATCCACTAAAACCAAAAAACAAAATGAGTACTTTGAATTAAGGAAAATTATCTAAAACAAAATGATACAAATCATATCATAGTCACTCCACATTAAGAAAACTAGCCTCCGGCTCGTCTAAAGACAAGTCAGGAACTTCAAGAAACATCCCACATTTTAGTTTCTTCTTGATGATATTGGGGAGTGCTCTTTGATAGAAGTCGAGAACTAGGAACACTCATCTCTATAAATATATATAACAATAAATCTTCAACTAATAAATAATATAAAAAAATAAAGAACATTGGACAACATGGTTCTAAAAAATATAAATTAATATTTATAATACTAAAAAAATATAATATAAATGAAGAACTAGGAGCACTCATCACTGTGAAACAAGAACCTTACATAATTAATTGGAGTTAGTTTGAATAAACTTACTGGCAAATGCTATCAGAAAACCAAATGATAAAATAATTGTAACACAACTGAGTTTTTTAAACAATCTTCTCTCATTAGAAAACCTAAGATACCTAAAAACCAATTCAATCTTATGAATGAGTTGTTGTAATTAACATGACTTACGTAATGTGTACGATTCAATTAGTGAAGGTGCATTGTATTCATGAAACAGAAACAGAGACGAACATAGATGTGTGACAAGACAAATAATAAAGAGAGAAAAGGAATGAGTGGAATACCGGTGGTGCCGACGGTGGAATAGAGAAGATGAAAAAACAAGGAATACGAGTTGTTTTTATAGTGGGGGAAGTGGAATATGAAAGGTAAAAAAACGTCGTTTTTTTTTAAATTCTGAGAATTTGAGTTGGACCGTTTCTGTTATTTGAAATAGTATGTCGTATCCATGTCCGCTGCGTTTCAGTTTTTTTCGTTGGACACTTCAAAAAAGTGTCTGAAACGGTTCGTACACCTATCCGTGTCGGATACGTGTCCGGTGCGGGGACACGCCCTCTGATATCTGTGTCGGAGCTTCATAAATCTGTACTAACCAGTCAGAAGCATTCTACATTCTAGAGAGACCTTTTATATGTGCTATATTCTGATCTTTGCTTCTTTGTGCTCATTGTTGAATACTGAATACTTTCTAGTGGTATAAGGGTGACACTTGCTTATTGGTACATCAATCTTGGATTTCTCACATCTAAATTATTTTGAGCTTCATAAAAAATAAGGCCAACCGTCCAATCGTTTCTATATTAACTCTTTTTCTTACTGATTTTTCAATATTTTCTTGTATACTGAGATTTTTTATTTATGTATGGTAAGTCTCTGGGGTGTCTGTTATGAGATATTGTGCTGTTGTGAATGATGATTTTTACTTAATAACTTTCAAAATAGGTTGGTTACTACTTTGCCCCTAGTGGTAAGCCATACCCAGATAACTGGATCATTACAGATGTCGTTTATGAGTATGAAGGATCTCTAGTCTCAAGGTAACTTTCATGAAGTGATGGCTTTTTTCAGTAGTAAACAGAATGAAAATATTATTGAAGTATCCCAACTTAACATTTATCTTGATAGCTGAGCTTGTTTGTCATCTCATTAATGAGTCATATTTTTCTTAAAATATTGACCACAATCACCTATGTCATTGCTATGCCATTTTATCATAACCAGTCATCATCCTTTTTTGCTGGGTTTAGGGGTAGGGACAGTTTGTTGATTAAAATATTGCAGTTAATTTAGCAAATTAATGAAAATTTTACTATGAAGTATGTATAGTGGGGAAGTGGTTCTACTATTACAGTTTTTATTTGTACATTTCCTAGATATTATATTTAAAGTGGTCTTAACTGTCAGGTCAGGGAATCTGGTTGAAGGAAACCCTGGAGCTATAAGTGGTGATGAGACGGTAAGTTTAAATTATTTTCCATTACTTTTTTTCATGATATACTGATCATCTCATCACCCCAATTGGATTACATAAAAACCAACCCTGTACAGGTTCCATACAATTCTCTTTCCTGGTGCAAAAACTGGTTGGGTCCAAAGGTGAACATCACAAGAGCTCCTCAGGTATTCTTGTCTAAGTCCAATTGATTTGCAAATGGGTTATTGTTAGTTTGTCTGGACATAGATTTTTTTTTTTGATGTTGCACGTCCTTATCTGCCTAAGTCTCTGAGATAGATGGGAGTGCGAACCTGAGTTCTACGCCCATAAGAAGTATTCTCTAAAATATAATTATATTGGTAAGGAAGATAATATGGAATCTGTTTTACAATTCATTATGTCTGTAGTGGTTAATTTGTTGGTGGCGGTGCTTGTTTTCTTTTCTTAAACCCCTTCAACTCCTTATTTTTTATTTTTTATTTTCGTGTGTCATGGCACTGCTTTAGCATCAAAAGGCAAGAATCATGCAAGTTCTTCATTATGATGTGTCTAAAAGTTTATTGAAGTTGCTACATATATTCTCAGTCATTTTATTGAGTTACTTATGTAATTATTTCCATCAATAAGCATCTCAAAGTGGAAGCCATCAAATTTAAGATATATTTTGATTTTGATTTAAGTAAATTAATCTTTATCTTTTCAAGTTTGATATTTCTTATAATGCCTTTCTGTTTTTTATTGGCTTCAGTTAGCTCTATTTGCATTCATTGTTAATTGTATGGCAATGTTTATATTTATTTATCTGTTTTAACATTTCAGTCAGAGCACGATGGCTCAGATGTACAGATTGATTTGAATGTGGAACATCACTATGGCGAAGATATTGTTCCAAACATGACTAGATTTCCTAGGGTTAAGTACATAACATATTATGAAGATTCTGAAAGTCTTCCGGGAAAGAGGACAGCAGTTTGGGAACTTGATAAAGGTGCATGCATGACATGTCCTTAGTTGTCTTGGACTAACTAATGCTTTAATTTATGACTAAAATAAGGCCAAGTAGATATGATGGCTACATAGACAAGTTTAACTGAATGTGTCCGTATTTTGTCAACTACTGACTCAATCTAGAAGTCAATGCTCAAAAGTTTTATTACTGCTTAAAGAACTCATTCAATAATCAATAGCAAAAGAATAGTGTTTGGTTGGGAGAAAATAGAGGGGAAGAGAAGGAAGACACGATTTTAAATTTCCTCCTCACTCAATTTTGTTGAGTGGAAAGTGGAGCCGAATTCCTCCTCACTCAATTTTGGGTCTCCTCCAATAATGGGGAGATTTGGAGGATAGAGAAGATGAGTTTTTAATATTTAGGCTAAACTACCGTTAGTCCCCTAAGTTATTTTTTGGGTGCTCAAGTTTCTTTCGTTCCATTTAAGTCTCTTAAGTTGCAAGCATTAGGAACTTTGTCCCTTAAATTTTTTCTTTTGTTGTATTTTAGTCTCTTAAGTTACCAACGTTAGACACTCTACCCTTCCTGCGACTTTTTTTATTTGAGTCCCTTGAGTGTTTCCTACTTGACATTGCGTTTTGGTGATTAGGTGTTTGACTCAACAAAAAGAAAGAAACATAGAAAACGCTTGACAGATACAAACAGAAAACAGATAAAAATGACCAAAATGTCTTGATGCTTATAATTTAAGGGACCAAAATGAAACCAAAAATAACTTAAGGAACCAAAGTGTCTAACGTTTGAAACTTAAAAGTCCAAAATAAAATGGAAAAAACTTATGAGACCAAAGTAAAACTTAAAAATAGTTTATGGGACCAAAGTGTATTTTAACCTAAAATTTAAATACATCGACTAAAGTATCCTTGCATAAAATATACAATAAAAAATTATAACGGAAAAAGTATATCAACTATTTCCCTATATTAAAATCCCTCTCCTCCCCTCTCTTCGTCTCGGTCAACAAAATATCTAATTAAATATCTTCTCTCCCTTCCCCTTTATTCCATTCAAAATCAAGCTCTCTCCTTTCGGCCACTTGTTTGAGCCAAACAAATGCTCAAGGTTTCAAAATTTTTAATTAAATATTCTAGTGATGAAATGTTTAGTTAAGTGATATGCATTAACCCAAGAAAAAGGTTATTTACCTGTCACTAGTTATCAGTTTCTTAATACTAAAAGTTTGATTTGCTATTATTTTTTATGGACGAGCAAGAATTATGATGTTAGAACTCCAAGTGTCATGCTATAAAATTTACATACAGGTAATTGACACTATATTCTTATAGCAAATCACAGGAACATTGTTAGATCATCAGTGTTAATGAGGGAATTATGGCTTGAAATGTGGCGTGATATCCATCCTGATGCAAGATCAGAGTTTGTCACAAAAGGTATTTCATAATATTTGTAAACAAATTTCAACAATTTAGCTGATAATCACCAATTATTATGCCATTATAGCTAAGCGCGGACCTCTAAGAAATGAGGACTGCTATTGGGATTATGGGAAAGCTCGCTGTGCATGGCCAGAGTATTGTGAATACAGGTTATTTTCTTTCTTATCCATTTAAGGTATATGTGAGTACGAGTATTGCAGTACCCAATTTCATGATGCCCACACTTCACATTTTATACCTAGGGTTGAAAGATTCTTCATTTTACTGTTCTTTTATATTTCATTTTGGTATTAGAGCAAATTTTTTATTGTATTAGCATGTAATAGAAGAGAGATCAAAAAGCTTGTAACAAAAGATACTCATTAAGAGGGGAAACATTTTTCATTTAACTGGAGCAAAGGTAAACCGTTATAGACATTAATGTTTGCTACCTCTGCTGATTTTAGTCCAGCTGTTCAAGTATAGGTCTGTGTCTTAAGCGCGGTTATGGCCAAGACTTCCTAAGTTGGAATTGTTCTTAACATATCTTATCCTGGCTTACTTATTTTTTCTTTTAATTACTTAAATATGTCAAATGTATGATAATGCAGATATGTTTTTGGTGATGTTCACTTGGGACAAAGCTGCAGGTTGAAATATACTTCAGCTGATTTGTTGTTGCACTATTTATAAATAAGAAGGTAGTTTCTTTCATGCTCTGTGTGATTATTTTGTTCGTCTCCTTTTTTTCTTGCTTGAACACACATTGCTATATCAAGGGCAAAGCCTTGGTGCAACAGTATGGTTGATGCCTTGTTGTGGGTTGAAGGTCACGGGGTCAAAACTTAGAAATATCTCCCCTCTTGCTGTAGCACTGACACCTCTGAAAAATGGTGTATCCGTGTCCGTGTCGGACACCGACGTCTACACCAAAATTCATAATTACCTTTAATTTATTCATTTTTCAAGTTTTTATCAGTGTTGCCGTGTCGGTGTTGTGATTGGAGTGTCTGTGCTTCGTAGCATTGCAGGGTAAGACTTGCATACATCTACTCCATCCACCTGGGAGGGTAAGACTGTATATACCTACCCTCTCCAGACTCCACCTGTTGGGAGCGTCGTGCAATGGGCGGACCTATGCACAGTTATATGACTTTAAGTAGAATTTTGAATAGGGTAGCCTAAAAAATATGACAGTTACGAATTGCTCTGTTTCCGCAACTCTTAGCTTTGACGTGTCTATGCCTTAAAAGCTTCCGTTATTTGGTCCTTGGTGATCATTCCCTCCTCTCAGGCCATTCTCTTGACAAATCTTTATTATTGCTGTTACCAATTTGCTTGAATCATAGATTTAACTTGTATAAATGCATGTTTAACTTCCCAAATTGTGAAGGCAACATTTATATTAAGATATATGCTTTGTTTAAGAGTTTGTTAATTTTCTGTTAATAATACACTGCTTGTAATTCGCAGAGTATATTTGATAATGTAAAACTATATTAGAAAAAAAAAACACTTTACTCTGCATGATTCAGTTGTTCCTTCAGATCAATTCAGTTTCTTAATTCGTTTCCTTTATTCAGATACTTTACCTCTTGTTCTTCACACACATTTTAGACACCTGGAGTAAACTTGTTCAATTATAAGTTAGAACATTTATTTGACCACAAACCCAGAATCTAAGACAGAATGCATACTAAACCACTGACTGTGAGGCAAAAAAGAGAGATTGAAAATGTAGTTGGTCAAAGACAACTCTAATATAGGGCCTGTTTGTTTCAGCTTTAAAAAATATAGTATATAGGTATATGCAATCAGTTTTCTACCCAATAATAATAAGACCAGTAGCGTTAAGATGAAATTTTCTATATGGCTTTACATTTTGGAGTGTATTTTAGTAAAAGGTAATGCGCTTTCAGAAATGACAAGAACCTTACCTTCTTTTCCTTTCCGACATTTCATGGCTTAAGTGTACATTCATATATAATAGTCCATTTATATCTTTGGTTTTATTGTTATGATATGCTTTCTGTTTTTTCTTCTCAGAATCTTCGATGCTGGTAGGATTAATTTGTTCCCCTGGATGACACGCTACACTTGAATATCAGAATTCGTCATCGATTTTTGGAATTTGGCCATTCTTCTGCATCATAGACTTGCTGTGCCATTGGTTTCCAGCAAATTCTTTGCATGCTTCTTTGGAACTTTGACTCAACTTCATAACTCTCTTTATCCACTTCACAAATTGTTCAGTATATCCGGGGCAGAATAATGTAGTATTCTACTATTCCTAGCAACAGGCGTGGGGCATCTCCCACTGATATATATATATATATATATATATATATATATATATATATATATATATATATATATATATATATATATATATATATATATATATATTTGGTTGAGCATATGTTGACGAATATCAGCATATGCTCAACCAAATGAAATTCAGGTTTACCTTACATTTGTTGTAGCACAATTTACACCTGCTATTAACCTAGGTGCAACTTTTTTCCGAGCTCCTACTTCATAATTTTGGTGGATCTGTACATCATTATTTGTCAATTGGTTGGCAATGTTATCTATCTAGGAAACATACAAGCTATAGTTATATGATAATCCATTCTTAGAAAAAAGTTGATATTGAAAATGAGAATACGTAGAGAATATAGAAGACAATGGTGATGTTGAGAAATTGTACCAGAAAAAAGTGGCTCAGAGACATTGTACCCAAAAAATAGCAAAGAAAGTGCCTCAGTCAGAGCTACAAACTTAAAGCAATGCAAATATAACATTTTATTTCTTCATTTTTATTTAATATATAAACTGCATATTAAGAAGAACAACTTTAAAGATTAAAGTACTAGTACTTATGTAAAGATAAAGTTCAATTTCATATTTCATAATGAAAAGATATTTTAAAAAATAAAGTTTAACGATGTAAGTATTGCTGCTCCTTGCATCACAAAATGACAGCCATTAAAATTTTTTTTTTTACATATATTAGAAAATGCAATAAATAGAAAATTTATAGTAATTTTATTAAATTATCTTTATTAACTATTTAAGTGTTTCAGTGTCATAAGTAGAAATTGAGATACAATGATTTGAAAGCATGCACATAATGTTAATTAGAAAGTACAACAGTATTACAATAATATATGTTAACCGAAAACGACATCCATTTATTTATTTTTTAAATGGAATGTGTGAATGTTATTGAATTCAATTTATTGTAATAACCGAATTGTGTGAATGTTATTGAATTCAATTTTTTGTGTACACTTTTATAGTTGGTAGCTCTAAAAAAGTTCTTACTTAATGGGGAAAGGGAGCGAATTGAGATAATTCTCATGACAAAGGAATCTAGCTCATGATTCTAGTAGTCCCCTATTTAATTCCAGGGTGGTTAACCAAGAGAGAACTTGTCAACCACTTTCAACATCTCAGGGAGTGCTGACAATCTTGCAGTGGACAAAGGTTTGGTCCAGATGTCATCTTTGATCATGAGTTGGAATATATGATGCTGAGATTTTTGCTGATGGCTTTTTATCTGGCAAAGATGTCTAGCTCCATATGTTTTGTTCTAGAATGAAGCACAATGTTGTGACACAGGGTAACAACTCTGAGGTTGTCACATAAAACCCTTAGCACTAGTGTGTGACCCCGAGTTCATTTAATAGAGTGAGGACAATTCTCACACTGATAGATTTAATCATTAGCAAGGTAGTCAAGCACGGGATCTTAAGTAGGATCGGACGGCCTACAAAAGATCGTAGCACGACACTTAAGATTTTACCAAAGGGTAAAATGGTAATTTCACATGGACAAAAATATGAAAAATAATAATAATAAACACAATAACCTATAAATCACAACACTCAACCAATTTAATTAATAGGAAAAGAACGGTAGTAGAAAGAAGGTGGACACAGAGGGAGAAGAATGAAGATGATGTGGGAGAAGAATGGTTATGATGATGGTGGAAAGTTGCAGTGAGAAGAATCGTTAAAGGAGAAGGAATAGTATCAAGTAAGGAGTAAAGATGTAACCGTTTTGTCTTTTGGTGTTTTAGGATTAGGTCTGAGAACTTAATTAAAAAGCTGAGTTCACTTAAAAAAAGCCAACCTGGTAAAAAAGCCCAACAAAACAGGCCCAAGCGCCCAACACTATATTTTTTACGATCTTACTATGAAAAACTCGATCTTGACTACAAAGATACACAAAAAAGTTTTTTTCAAGATCGTAGCACTAAAAGGTAAATTTGGCACGTAAGATCTTACGATCTTACGATCCAGCACTCGATCTTGACTACCTTGATCATTAGTGAAAGGTCTCATTGTAATAAAATCCCTCAATTTGTTGAAAACCCTTAGCTACAAGACTAACTTTATATTTGTTTATGGTTCCATTAGGATTTTCTTTCACTCTAAACACCCATTTGCAACCAATAGGTTGTCTATGTGAGGGTGGAGGACCTAAGGACTCAGTGTCATTTTTCAATAGAGCATTGTATTCTTCCTGTATTGTAGTGAACCATTCAGGAATGACCAAGGCTTGTTGTAGGAGGTTGGCTCAACATGTGTTGGGAGGAGGGTTGGGTGGAAGCTTTGTTGGACAATTTCATCTTTAGCTCTATTTAGTAAATGGTGTGTCTTAGGTCTGTGATTTTATGATTGACAACAATTTTGTTAAAACATGTTTAATTTAGAAAAAAACATGTATCACAGTCAAATGTTGAGCAAAATGTCATGACATCTTGACCAAATGGTAAAGCAGAATTAGCTGTTACTTTTCTTGACAAATGTTCTGAATGTTGTGACATGTTATACCAGAACATCAGAACAATTCTGCATTTTAAATCCTTGTAGATTTGGTTTTGAAATATGAGATTCTAAATGATTTTAGTTCTCCTACAGACGCAATTACGCAAGGATATTTTTAGGAACATTGCAGATTTGTGGTTTCATAAAAGGATCTTGGATACTTTTTAGGAAACTTTGAAGATTCATTCCTATTTTTGGGGAAAAGATTCTGCAGGTCGTTTACAACTGGAAGATTGAATTTGATTGAAGAGTTCAAGCCCATACTGCAAGAGTCTATATAAAGAGACTTACTAAACCTAGAAACTTAAGTGTTATCATTGAAAAAACCGTGTGTGCACAAATAATGGTTTAGGTTTGAGAGTTCTTTTAGTGCGTTGTGTGTTTTTTTTGTATGTCACTCTTTATCAGGTTTGATGCATTGAGTTGACTGATTGTTGATTGTTAATTGTTCACTCTAAAGCTTTTAAGCAAGAATGTATTGTTCTTATTGAAGCTTTTAAGTAAAATTAAGTATTGTCTTAGAAGTGTGTCACTTCTATTTTAATGTTGTTGAATCGTCACTGGTCTGTGACTGGTAGGAAGTGATAGGGGTTTTTCATATCTAAGAGTTCCTAAGTAGAAGTTAGCACATGCAATGATTAGGTGATAAGTTGTAAACGGGGGAGTTTAGCTTTGAACTAATACTATTATAATGGATTTCCTTCTTGGATTGGTAGCCCCCAGATGTATCTGAGTTACACCAAATTGGGTTAACAACTATTGGTGTTATTTATTCTTCTGAAATTTATCCTCTGCACTTAATTGTTTTCTGTCAGCAGATGATGTCTTAACATCTGTTTTGGCATTGTGTTTTGGTGT